GGCAAAAGGCAGGGTACACCCTGGACAGGTCACCAGTCTGTCACAGGGATAACATATACACACAAACAACCATATGCACTCACATTCACACCTATGAATTTCCAGCTAACCTATCCCCACTAACTGCATGTCTTTGTGAGAGAACCAAAGCAAACACATGGAGAACATGCAAACTCCACACAGCAAAACAGGCAACAGTGCTAACCACTGTTCCACCCATCATTCTGTCTCATGCCACACTGGTTAAATCACAGGTGTCGAACTCCTCGAGGGCCGGTGAGACTATACATTTTTGCATTTAAGATATTTTATTTTAAAAAAATGTAACTCCAATATGGCATGTACACGATCAAAGGAATTATTTAGGGCTTTTCCTGGACAGATGTTGTATGGAGTTAAAAATGGAAAGCGATGTTTTTAAAATTTTAATGTTTTTTCCCCTCTTCAATAGTTATCATTGCTCACTAATAAGACCAAAGTATTTCTTATCCAGTTACTTGATTACTGAAATAGTCGATAGATGCAGCCCTACAACTGTAACAGCCCTGTAACTAATAAAGTGGCCAGTATCCTCTTAACTTGACCTGCATGTGATGTGAATTCTAACTACAGAAAAATCACGAGTTACACTCTCTGAATGGGCACTGCACGAGTTGGGCAACTCAGTGATGAAGCAGCTTCTCTATCGCTGATACGACAGTGACGTATTGATCTTTTGATGGGGTCTCTGCTGCCGGTCTGCTCACAGATGCAGTTTCAGAGTGCCCCGCTCAGAATAACAATTTGCCTCATTTCCACTGTCTACATATAAGGGAACAAAATGAAGAGAAAGGAGTAGTTCAGTACAAAATAAGACTGGGTGATTTATTAATCTCATCAAGACCATTAATACAAAGCAGTTAAAAGGCCACATACCATCAAATAAACCAAATGCTGGATCAAGCCGTTACATTGCCACCAAAAAGGTTCTGTTGAGGGTTTAAAAAGGAAAAAAAAAAAAAAAAAAAATCTTCTGAAATGAACCCCAACAATCCTGATATGGGAAACATGGGCAGAAACAGTCAAATGCAGTCACTTCTACTCTTTATAGAAATGCTCCTACGCACGCCTTTCATCCCTAGTTGGATCAAAAACTGAATTATCCACTGCCATCAAGCACGAGGAATAGAGGGGCTCTGTACTTTCAGCGCAAAAGCAAAGAGTTAAAAGGGCACGAGTGAGGCTTTTTTCTTTTTTTTAAGCAATTCTGCTCACGGCGGTCGAACATGTCAGACCCAGCATGGGGGATAAAAGCGAGGCGGTAGACGTGTGTTTGTTCTGCCCTGATTCACGTAGAAAGCAGGTTTAACAGTTGCATAGGACCACTGTGTTTACAAACATGACCTATAACAACTGTGGCTCTTCAACAGTACAGCCTAAAGTGCACAAAGTGTGTTTCTCAGGAGAAAAAACAAGGAAAAAAGGAAATAAAAATTCTAATTATTCACTATGCTCCAATACTTGCAGTTGAATTTACGTCTGCATGTATTCAACTGGAACTTTAAAACAATTCCAACCTCTGTTTAATGAATGTAACCATTAAAAAGTCTTGGAGGAGGGAAAAAAAAGGCAATTAGTAGGATGTACAAAGTGAAGGTCGCGTTAAGTGCTTGGCATACTGAACTGTAATTTCATTGCTTTGAAACACCTAAGGGGCAGGGAAGAAATAATGGCTTTCCTTAGTTAATAAACTGGAGATTGTCTGTGAGTAAGTTAGTGACGTTGACCTGCGTCTGAGTTTTTTCTTTTTTATCCGACTGTGGCAGCAGTGGATTATTAGGCAATATATGACTGAACAGATGTGGATGAGCGTACAATACAACAGAAAAAACCCCTTGTCACTTTATACAAATTATTTAGTTAGTGTATACATGTTATATATACACACAGTATCCACAAACATGTACAATTTCATAGTGTATAGCTTTGTTCTAAACATTACATAGGCAACTTTATTTTTATTTATTTTTTTTAGCATTTTAGACACCGTTTACTTATTTCCGTGAAGTAGAAAACAAAATAAAAGGCACATTTTGAGCATGATGCGAGGATTATTTCAGTCTTTCAAAGGGAAACAAAATGTTTCAAGCAAATTAAAGAAAAAAGAAATAAAGAGAAAGAAGAAGAAGCTGGGTTAAAAAGTTCCTTTTTCATGGATTGGTGGTTGTTTTTAGGTCTTTGGAGCAGCCACCGGCAGACCCAGCTTTGGGGGGAGGATGCGTGCTTCCAGTGCTAAGTTTTAATACCAAAGAAGAAGAGTTGGCCATGAGGGTGGCTTCTGGAGAGGAGCACAGTGTCAGACAGCAGCGCGCATCCTTAAGGGATTCGGTTAAGACATCGGCTTTTGAAGAGCAGGAGGACATGTCGGAGTCCTCGACTTCGACCTGGAGGTGCTGTTTGATATCGTGGCAGACTTCCCTCCGTCGTGCAGCGCAGACGGATGTTTTATTTATTTAGTAAGTCCAATCAAAACCTGCTGACTTTGCCCAAAACTGATGTGCAAATGGAGTGTTCTCAGCTCTCGTTTTCAAGACTGCGCTGAGAGAACTGGAGCCTGGGGTCAGAGGTCAACGCTGTTTGATTTATTTATTTTTAAAGGCAACGTTTTGTGGCTGTGGAGAGGCCCGTCTTCAAAAAGAAAGAAAAAAGTTTGACTCATGTTCTTACAGTCACAGTGTTCAGCTGAGATACAAGGTGTGAGGGGGGAAGGGGATTCAGTGTCACCTCCTTGGTGTTTCTGCTAATGTCACATTTATTTAAAACAAAAACAAAAATCCCTTATCCCCCTGCATAAAAATAAGACTTTGGCAACTGTTTGCTTTCAGTTAGGAAAAACAAATCAATGAAAACATTTGCTGCTTACAGCCACTGTGAGTGAGCTACATCTGTGAGCTGCAAGACTCCAAATCACGTCAATGCCCAAAAGAAAACAAAAGCACGACAGTTGAAGCTACAAAATCCAAGGTCCCCACATCCTCCCCTCCTCTCCGCCATCCCGACTGGTGACGGAGATGTGGGGCTGTGGGGTAAGCGAAGTGTGTGAGACATGAGAACTTTTATCATCAGGAGCAGGAGGTAACGCTCCAAGCCGACAAACACTCCTTGGTGTTTAATAGCTGGCACACCGGTGTGGGTTTCTCATTGGCACGGCGGGTTTTAACGATGGAGGTGGAGCTACCGATCCCCCTGAGAGGCACAGCGGGGGTTGGTGGAGTTTGTATGTTGAGCAGTGTTTTTCTTTCAGATCAGTAGCTTTGAGTCATCTGTGTTGTAGTTTGAAGGAGCAAGTTTGAAGTTTGCCTTTCGGTGGTGGTGAAGGAAAAGTTGGCTCAGTGGCTGCTGTCTGTGTTCTCCACCAGCGAGAGGCTTTGTACTGGCGGCTGTAGCAGCTCCCTTTTGTATGTCTTTGGTGGGAGTTTAGGGAGGTGTGGGCTGGAGTTGTAGCGAGGGGGGACAGGTGGAGCGGAGGTGGGAATAGAGAGAGGGCAGAGGCTATTCTGGCTGGCGCTGAGAGAGCAGCCCCGCCTGGCAATGCGAGGGGACGGTGTGCTGGGTGGCGTGTTTGGGGAACTGGGCGAGCTGCCGTAATCCCAGGTATATCGGCCCACGGGCGAAGGCTGGTTGACAGGGTAGTTGATGAAGATCTCCGGGGGTCGCTGGGGCACC